CTATTGATATGATTGAAATTAATATTAGATTGAAATATTTCTGCCAGTTTTCTATTCCTAAGTAAAGCAATTTAGAAGAAATTTCAATTTGAAGAAACCGGAAAAAGCTCACCTTATGACAAAATTGTGACTGTCAATCTCTTTTCCGCATCCACTATCCAGAAGAATACCAGAATTTCCAACGACTGCACATGTCTTAAACCTTCGATTTTTCATGGGTGAAACTTCAGGTAGGAGGCTATGCAGATCATGAGAAATATTCAGTGTTCGACGCCTGTCAAGCACGTAGTGTATGACATCACCAGGCTTAAAGCTGCTCTTGACCACTGAGACATCTCTCTCTGCATCTAGGAAACGAAGAATGTTCTTCCTAGAATTAAAATACAAGTCAAGTTTGCCATTAATAGTAAAGTATTCAAGAGATGATAATTTTGCTTACAAAGTAATATATCATTAAATACACAATGGCATACTAAACAGTCTTAAATTCTAATTTAATCAGTTGATAATTAAACCAACCATTTAGGACATTTTATAGGAAAGAAAATATATATTTACAAAATATTTATTTATAATTTTGTAAGAATATATAGTATGCAAACTTATATTGTGCTTGTTGTTATATGCTGTCAAATTGGCTGTGACCAATAGAGACCATAAGTACAGCAGCACTGAACTCTGCTCTATCCTCAGCCAGTCTCACTAATTCTGACACACCAACTCTCACTGTCCCAGTTACCGTATTACTCCATCTCATTCAGTGTCTTCCTCTCCTAAACTGTCCCTCCACTCTTTCAAGCATGATGTCCTTCTCCAAGGAAAGGTCCCTCCTGGCCATGTGCATAAAGCATGTGAGATGGAGCTTCAAAATTCTAGCGTCCAAGGAGAAACTTGGTTTCACCATCTCCAAAACAGATTTCTTTGTTTTCCTGGCAGTCCACGGTATGTTCCAAACTCTTCTCCAGCACCACAACTCCAAGACATCAATTCTTCTTCTGTCATCCTTAGTAATTGTCCAACTTTCTGATATGTAGCAAGTAATTGCAAAGACCTTGTCCTACATCAGACACATCTTAGTCTCTAGACTGATATCATTGCTTCTCAGTACTCTTGAGGGGTCCCTGACAGCAGATTTTCCCAATGCAATTCATCTTTTGATTTCCTGATTGCTGGTGTCAAGAGTGCTGACTGTGGAGCTAAGCAATGTATAACTGTTAAAAACATCAACCTCCTCTCCATCTACCAAACTTATATTTAAAATGTAGAAAAATACACTTCATCCATTAAATATAGAAAAAAATCCATTTATTAAAAGAAATTTTGTGGCTATGGATTGGCTAAATTACTAGATATTCTGTTAGCTTCAAACAGTATGCTTAGAGTTACCTACTTATTTTAACCTTGTCTAGTTAAGAAGTATAGAAATAATGAAATTGAAGGCTGCACAGTGGAGTAGACTTGGGGGAAGGGATTGCATAACAATGAAAGAGCTTTACTTTTTAAGGAGAAGAGTGAATTGGGGCGGAGGGGGTGGACAGGGAGAAAAGTGCAACAATAAGTGACTAGAAACCCTAAGTCTCTGTAAACTTTCATTGAACAGGCACTTCACTGAAGACGACATTCAGATGGCTAACAAACACATGAAGAAATGCTCAAAATCCCTAGCCCTAAGAGAGATACAAATTAAAACAACTATGAGATATCATTTCACCCCAGTCAAAATAGCAAAATTTAACAGAA